CTTTAATTAATGATATTGTCTATGTACACCATGAACAACAACCACAGCTTACTACTAAAGCGTGTCATATCTACGATATTTTAGTTAATGATATTGTCTATATACAACATGACAAACAAACACAGCTTACTACTAAAGCGTGTCATATCTACGATACTATAATTAATAATATTGTCTATGTACAAAATGACAAACACGTACAGCTTACTATTAAAACGTGTCATATCTACGATATTTTAGTTAATGATATTGTCTATGTCCAACATGACAAACAAGTACAGGTTACTACTAAAACGTGTCATATCTAGGATACTTTAGTTAATGATTTTGTCTATGGACAACATGACAAACACGTACAGCTTACTACAAAAACGTGTCATATCTACAGTACTTTAATTAATGATTTTGTCTATGTACAAAATGACAAACACGTACAGCTTACTATTAAAACGTGTCATATCTAGGATACTTTAGTTAATGATATTGTCTATATACAACATGACAAACAAGCACAGCTGACTACTAAAACGTGTCATATCTACAGTACTTTAATTAATGATTTTGTCTATGGACAACATGACAAACACGTACAGCTTACTATTAAAACGTGTCATATCTAGGATACTTTAGTTAATGATTTTGTCTATGGACAACATGACAAACACGTACAGCTTACTACAAAAACGTGTCATATCTACAATACTTTAATTAATGATTTTGTCTATGTACAAAATGACAAACACGTACAGCTTACTACAAAAACGTGTCATATCTACAATACTTTAATTAATGATTTTGTCTATGGACAACATGACAAACACGTACAGCTTACTACTAACCCCCGTCATATCTACGATACTACAACATGACTAACACGTACAGCTTACTATTAAAACGTGTCATATCTAAGATACTTTAGTTAATGATTTTGTCTATGTACAACATGACAGACAAGTACAGCTTACTACTTAAACGTGTCATATCTACAGTACTTTAATTAATGATTTTGTCTATGGACAACATGACAAACACGTACAGCTTACTACTAACCCCCGTCATATCTACGATACTACAACATGACTAACACGTACAGCTTACTACTAACCCCCGTCATATCTACGATACTACAACATGACTAACACGTACAGCTTACTACTAAAACGTGTCATATCTACGATACTTTAGTTAATGATATTGTCTATGTACAACATGAACAACAACCACAGCTTACTACTAAAACGTGTCATATCTACGATACTTTAATTAATGATATTGTCTATATACAACATGACAAACAAGTACAGCTTACTACTAAAACGTGTCATATCTACGATACTTTAATTAATAATATTGTCTATGTACCACATGACAAACAAACACAGCTTACTACTAAAACGTGTCATATCTAAGATACTTTAATTAATAATATTGTCTATGTACCACATGACAAACAAACACAGCTTACTACTAAAACGTGTCATATCTACGATACTTTAATTAATAGTATTGTCTATGTACAACATGACAAACAAGTTCAGCTTACTACTAAAAGTGTCATATCTACGATACTTTAGTTAATAATATTGTCTGTGTACAACATGACAAACAAGTACAGCTTACTACTAAAACGTGTCATATCTACGATACTTTAATTAATGATATTGTCTATGTACAACATGACAAACACGCACAGCTTACTATTAAGCTGTACGATAATTTGTCCTCCAAATCGTGAAGTTTCCATTTTTCTTAAAAGTAACTTTCGTACGTCCTTTACATGTTGCAGTTGATTCAGTATTAAAGAGCTTGCTCTGAATATCATGCCTTTCCTGGTAGATGTATGTCGACTGCTGACGGACAGACTTACGACACACGGTCGGGTCGCCATCATTATCTTATAGGGAATATGCCATTTCCCTTTTTGCTATGAAAGTCGACGGTTTTGATTATGCCCATTTTTATGCCTTGTGGTTTTTATGCACTAATAGAGTTTTCGATATGAGGACGTGACATTGTTTGGATTTGACGTAAATTACATGGCAGGTGTCAAGCTGAGGACTCTTACACCACCAGAATTGCGGAACACACTAGTCTTATTCTCCTCTTTTTCTCCATTTTCATATCAATCTTTCCTTTGTTAATATATTGCCCTAGTTTTAACGAGTTAATATATTGCCCTAGTTTTAACGAGTTAATATATTGCCCTAGTCTTGACGAGTCCGGGTTCGGATTATGGTTTTGTTGGCACTTCAGGATTCTATTCAGTATTGTGGTTTATCTTATAAATTAACTTTTGGGAAAGATACACAAAGTGAAATGGAAAAGAAATTGTATGAGATTAGTTAAATGGTAATACATTGTAAAGTTACATGTATCTTGTTGAGCATGCAAAATGCATGACCCAAAGTATAAGATTATGTCTCTTTTCTGTGAACGTTCAACAGTTTTTTCAAACACTTGTCACTATATGGTCAGGAGTTCTGAAGCACGTGAAAGTATTAACTCAATTAACAGGTATGTCTTGGATTACCCCTCTGTGGAAATATGACAAAATAAAATTGAATTAAACAACACTATTGGCAAAAATCAATATACTACAGCTGTATATCCTTTAAGTCAATGTGTGTTACGTGGGCAACTCAACATTTCTATAAAATTTCCCTCATTTTTATTAATAAGATAAATATATTAGACACAGTACAATTAGGCTGGCAGTTTATGTCTAAACATTAAGATGACATAGAAACACAAGTGACACGAAGGAAGATAATTTTATGACTCGTTCCTACGCAACCTTAAATATATGTGTATATTGATCAGCTTCTCCGTCATTTAACTACGCGAGTTGTTCCCCTTTGTCCTAGGCATACAATTTTATGAATATCCATGATGTATTGTCATTTTGAATCGGTTTTGAGTAATTTGTCTATTTATTTTGAAGGTGTGGTTAACATTTTTGTGTTGAAGGTTTTGTTTGGTTTTATTTTGTTTAACGTCATATTAACAGCTATAGGGTCATTTAAGGACGTGCCTCCATGCGTGTAATGTTTGCGTGCATGTGTGTATGTATGTTGGAGACAGAGTATGTTGGTGTATTTGCCTCTTTGTGATAGCGCGGATCTAATACCGACTTTATAGTGCTATCTCACTGAAATACTATGCCGAAGGTACCCAGCACAGCATTCCGCCCGGTCACATTATACTGACAACGGGTGAACCAGTTGTTGCCTTTACCCGTAATTCTGAACGTTAAGCAGGGACTTTGGTATGTCCCGACCTGGGGAACCTAATTGCCTTCCTCTCCTGGGCGAACGCTCAACATTAAAGCCAAAAGTGAGGTATTGCCAAGCAAGGCGCTCCGAAATGAAAAGATCCCGAATATTGCGATGGGTGCTGCAGGGTTTTTTTGGTCGGTTTTGTGTCCCCAAGTAGAGGACACAAAAGCAAATCCCCAATTCTGCAAGGGGTTCTGTATTGTAAATGACAGGGGTGTGTTAGCAATGTGGGTTTTACTTTTATATCTTTCGTTGTTTTGTAATGGCAACGTGTTATGTATTTTTCATGTTTATATTGATAATGTGATAGTTTTTTGTTGTTGTTGTTTTGTTTTTGTGTTGTTTTCTTATTATTTTTATATTTTTTTTATATTTTTTTATTTTTTAATAATATACAATTGTCACATGATATATAGAGAGAGAGAGAGAGAGAGAGAGAGAGAGAGAGAGAGAAGAGAGAGAGAGAGAGAGAGAGAGAAGAGAGAGAGAGAGAGAGAGAGAGGAGAGAGAGAGAGAGAGAGAGAGAGAGAGAGAGAGAGAGAGATTGTCGAACCAAGGGATAAAATTCATATCAGCAAAGCGAAGTTCCTGTGGTTATATTATTTATGCAAATTTCTTTATTTGCCGTACTGGATATGATTAGCTTGTGATATGACGAGAAGCACGTCAGTCACATTTACATATGATATATACCTAATAGGCTGCAACCGACCTCACTTTTTTATTTGAATCGTGACTAGTTTCACCTTTTGTACATTTTGAAAATATAAGATATCATAGAAAACAGTTTAAAGATACCATAGATCTGAAAAGTGTTTTATACCCATTATTAAACAATACAAAGGTTCTATGGTGTAACGTTTCCACAGGAAATTATTTCAGAAATAACATCAACCCCACTATATATGCTTTGCGCTATTGTCTATTCCATGCGCAACAATAAAAATGTCTCCTAAGACTCTATGAATCACCTTTTCAATTATTCAGTTATTTTTGTAAACTGTTTTTTCCCCCTCTAACTACAGTTAGCTCCAAATCTTCATTGGTATCCATTAAAGTTAGGTTATTAAATGATTTTAAAACAAATTATCTTATATAAATTTTAATGGTATGACACAATAAAAAAAATATGAAAACGCTATATTCTGTCATGTTTCCAGTAAGAGGCTATTCAAGACACTGGATCCGAATAAACAAACGTTCGGCGGATACGTGTACAGTGCCCATGTTGGACCATATCGTCGTTATTACTTATGAGACGTATATATACTGAATTCTCGTGGCAGCGCTTAGTGAAATCATCGCTTTTACTACGATATTCAACTGTATATTATACATGTGTAATAAGCTGTAACGGAAAAAACAGTCTACCTTGGCCATAATTCTTTTTTAAAATGTGAGGATTTTGTAAACAAGTTATACATACTATCGAATGTCATTGTTAAACAATTAATTGTAATTATGCCATTCCATATCCCAGCATGAATCAGCCGCTGATCACCGCTCGTCCACGTGAGAATGTAAAATTGTTTTCCATATTCCTATATTAATATTTGATAATCATCAGTGCGCAGTTGTCAATCGGGACGAGCCCTAATTGATTTTCTATATTTGAATAACACAGCAAACACAATAACTGGGGAAGAATTCAACATGGACATCCTGACAATGGTACCCAGTACACCGTTACCATAGATACATAAACAATTAATATTTCCGGTGTGGTCTCAATTTTAATGAGTAAAACATAGCAAGGCAATACCCATAAACGTAATGACGCACATCAACACAATAAACCTACACTACACGGATCAAACAAAACATGTATCTGACAAAATCATACAGTAAACACGTGGTTCAGAGGAGGGGCGACCCACAACACATCTCCATGGCCACCTGTAAATAGCAAAATACAATGCAAAACATAATGACAAAAGGTCAAACAAATCTATTGTCATCTTGGATTTTGTGGTTTTAACTTTCTATATGTTTCAGTATTAGAAATAATATTTGCTGTCACTGACTTAAGAAATCAAGTCGTAAAACGTGAAACGCAAAATGTATATGAAAAAAGGCATCTACAGAGCAGTTTGTTCTCGACCTTGATTTACCCGCGGTCCTCATCCAATACTTTAACTAATGTCCATATAATATATATACATATTTCAAAAATATATAATGGTTACCTGTATGTAATCATCCATTATTCTTTGTCTTTATTTATATGAAATGCATTGGTATCTACATCTTGGGAAAATCACGGAAAATCGGTATACAGACATAACGTTCAGTAATTATATATGATATACTGAAACATATATACAATCATGGACAACGCGGACACATAAGCTGGGGGAAAATGTATATATATAAATACTAATCAGGTTTTCAGTTCTTAAAAAGTATCCGGAATTGGAGACGTCAGATATTTATAATAAATTATGATAATATGTTACGTAATACCGATATACATGAAAGTTTAAAAGTACACAGAGACCTGCTTCTTCATACATGTATATAAGGAATAGCATGTGGACGTCATCTCCACGAAATGTTGTTCACGCTCTTCTAATAAATGAACGTTTTGAAAATTCAGATATTAATTATCTATAGCAGCCAAAAATTATAAAATGTCAAGCAAAAGATTTTGACACATCGTTTCTTCTTTAGCCGTATCATACAGATTTCCATAATTTTGATCAATTTTAATACAACTGAAGATACCTAAATGGACGCGATGACCACAGTGTATGAAATGCATATTTTGATTAGCTTTTGGTATTAAATATCGTTTTTTTTAAACTTTTCTTTTAAAGTGATGATTTAATAAAGAAAATGCTTCTTGATATATTAGATAAATGTGACAACAAATCATATATCATCTTTCTAGCTACAAATGGCATGATGTTTTTCGATTTTCGTCGTTTTGTTTTTCTGAAACTGCTTCACTGATTGGCCGGAAATCCTTCGGTTGCCGTCGTCTAGCAGGATTACACGGACAACTAGAATTCCTTTTCAGGTCATTTGTATCAGAGGTTTCCACTGTACTTGTACATGTGGCTTTGAGTTTTGAATCCGTCAGAGAACACAGCATAAGGTACAGCGATAACACAAGATCACTGACAAGGAAGATGTAGATGTTTCCTACCCAGCGGGAGTACGAAATCAGAAACCAGAAGGAATGAACAAGCAACATCATGAAAGATATTTTGCAGTAAAAACCGAAGAGATGTACAAACTCTACATCATCAACCTCAAAGGACATGATGTAACTATAAATAGCTAGCACCAGAAAAACCAGGAAGGTCAATGTCAACATTGTGAGGATGGGGAAGCAAGATATGTAAAGGGAGAGTGAATTGACGTCATAGTAACACGGCAGTCCCCATGGTATCCAAGGAACCATGACGAAACTCGATTGGTTGACAACGTACCAGTACGTCACTGAAACAATGATAGGTGCCATGATTGCGGGATATGACACATAAATTAATTTAAGAATATAGGGATTCTGAAAATGTCGATTAGCTCGCATCATAAGTCCAACATGGAGGCCACAGAGTTGTAGAAATGCGACAGACAAGGTGGAAGTGAAATGAAGTGAGGCTCCAGACACTCGACAAGAGTAAGTCGACACGAAGGGAAAGGGAACGCTCAGAAGCACAATGTTGTAAAGCAAAAGACAAACGACCAGTCCCAGTAATATTGATGACATGAGTGTCCGAGGTCTGTAGGTAACTGCCATTCCTACCAAAGTGACTCCGAGGCATACGATTGACAAACATACGAGCACCAACCCCACATGTCTCTGGGTGTTCTCCTCTAACGTGTGTGTATTATTCTTACCATTATTCGATACGAGCTTGTCAATTTTCTCAAAGAATCTTTCGCTGCATAAGAGGATATCTAGGTCACTGTATTCAAATTCATCTGGACTGTAACAAAGGTCAAGGTCAGATAGACACAAAGAGTCGTTAACTCTTGTTGCATTATAGTCCTCTATCGAAATGTTTATCTTGGGACACAATGTGAATGACGATAGTTCAAACGTCGGCATTCGGACCCTGCACAACATATCCCCATTTTGAGCGTGAGAAGAAGGCATGGGCATGATTTCTTTCAGTTCCAACCCGTTAATGAACACTGGTTCCTTTGATAATCTATCCATTTTAGCATACGTCAACAGTGACATGTCAAAATATATATCGTCATTTCTTATAGTAATGTTATTACTTTTTATTTTGCTATTTATAAACTGTTTCATCACTGTTACGTCATTATAAATTCCTTCCACGATAAAATCTGTGGGGACTTTCACATATATAACCTGTGTCTCGTTATCTCTTGGAAATACATCCCTTAATCTAGTTTTGATGATACTTATTGCACCACTTGAACATTGATGGACTTGCCACGGAGACAATGCCATGGTCAGATATTCCATGCTAAATTTGTTTAGATGATTCGCTAGCCAGGGATTGTTGAGCCATTTGTAGGACGTGTTGTAATGTGGGTATATGACGAGATTGACCGAGTATCGCCGGAGATTGACGAACTGGTAAACAGTTGTACAGATGCCATTTCTGTTAACAAGCGGATGGCTGCAGACAATGACGCGACAGGTTTTCTGAAATCATAGAAGAAACAAATCAATATCTAATTATAAATATCACAATATATCGCTCACTTGCTAAAAATTAAAGACATGTTAATTGTTTTAGGATTGAAACACATCTTTTTAACAATTATGTGGGTATAAAACACAGTTTCGTTCATTTTCTCCAAATAGCGATATTGTATGAAATACATGATGCCACTATGTTTGAAAGGCAATGTGTTTCATACCATCATAAATGCTTAAAAGATGCATCTCAAGCCTTATATTTACGTTCAAAACAGCAAAGATAATATCATTGTATCGTTCTTTGTAGTCATATTCGGTTCAAAATACTTTTCAAGCAGATAAGCATATATGAAGTCAGTATACATTCTGTATGTGCACCATGTTTGCATCAGATCCACGCTATAGCAAGGAGGCAAATACACCAACATACACGCATACGTTACACACATTGAGTCATGTCCTCATATTACCTCAGCAGCTAATATCACATTAAACAAAAGTTAACCATGGCTTTAAGCATGCTTAATGTTTACATATAGATTGGCGTTTTGCGGGGCAAATGAGTTGATGCAGAATTTTCATGATTTATAATTCAACTAACAACTATTTTGTACAAACTGCACTATATTAACAGAGATTATAAGCTGAGAATCAAAATTAAAGTAGTTCCAAATTATATCAATAAATTACAAGGACACTGAGGCAAATACTTTCTCAAATTCTCTTACCTTCAGTGAACCATATTACGTCATAGACTAATCTACGTTTACCCTTCAAACGATCGGAGAGAAAACTTGTCCTCAATTATTGATCCAGAGGTTATTTTATAAACAACATTCAATAATAAAGTGGGCGATCAATTTAACGTGAGTCCTAGGTATATATTCCCTTGGGAATGCATAATTATATCGTGTCTTTGAGTAACCGATAAGTAGTTGTCTTATTCATCATTTACAAAACCTGACAAATAATCCCCCGGCTGTTTCCAGGAGCACGTGAACAATTCGGTGTATCTATCCGAGTCAGGACTTTCATTAATATTCTGTTGCTTTCTGAAACTGTTCAATGGTACATGTTTTCATCAGTGGAAAAGTCTTTGTCATTGAACAAACTGAACAATCAACTGAAAAAGTATGATATTGCCAGCATTGTTCTCTATCTGAAGTATTGTTTTCGTCCTGCTGGTAGGTTTACTGTAGCAAATGTTTGTTCACGTTTCGAACAAGCATTATTTTACTACTATATTTCAATTAATCAGACCCTTATGTCCAATAACATTGATAGAATCACTTCAATCTAATTAAAATTGTATCTTCACATCGCTCCCGTTAACTGATATGTCGCGCTTCAACGCGACATATCAGTAAACGGGAGCGATGTGAAGATATAATTTTAAGTAGATTGGAATCACTTGTGATATGATATAGTAACATGCACAAAAATGAGCAGTAATCACAACGAAAGGAAATGGCTAAAGCATTGTGCTTTTCAATTGATCTTTAAAGCTTGACTGAAAGTACATGTAAAACATAATACATTAAGAACATTGATCCATGATAAGGTTAAGATATTTTTGGATTTTGAAAAAAATGCTGTGTTTACGAATTTCCGGTGTGTAAAAGAGTTGTAAAATACTAACATACTTTTAGCAGGATGTTTCAGATTAACTCCTAGTCCATGGTAAACACGGAACTAACGATATATCAGATTTGCTCCTGGTACATGGTAAACACGGAACTAACGATATATCAGATTTACTCCTGGTCCATGGTAAACACGGAACTAACGATATATCAGATTTACTCCTGCTCCATGGTAAACACGGAACTTACGATATTTCAGATTTACTCCTGGTCCATGGTAAACACGGAACTAACGATATATCATATTTACTCCTAGTCCATGGTAAACACGGAACTAACGATATATTAGATTTACTCCTGGTACATGGTAAACACGGAACTAACGATATATCATATTTACTCCTGGTCCATGGTAAACACGGAACTAACGATATATCAGATTTACTCCTGGTCCATGGTAAACACGGAACTAACGATATATAAGATTTACTCCTTGTACATGGTAAACACGGAACTAGCGATATAATAGTAACAGTCAAAGAGGCTATGAACACATCTAAAAAGGAAAACAACATTTTAACATTTTGTTTATATTCTGCAGACTTTGCAATAAAATAATATAAAAATGCCTTTGCACTATTTCCAATCATTAAATAAAAATGGCTGATGGGAGACCGAATTTCTACATCGGAAGCGAAGAATTCCAACCCTGCGAATTCCTCAAAAAATTGTATTGATTAAAGTATATAATGCTAAATGTATTGATTGCATACATTGTATATCTATGTACTGTAAAGCGTTTAGAGTGGCCAATTTTAGCTAGATAGGGCGCTATATCAAATGTTGTATATTGTTATTACTATTGAGCAGAACATTTTGAGTGGACGACATTTTGAATAAGGGTTCCCACACTGATCATCTGTGAACTAGACACAAATTCTTAAGGTCAAATTCACCGCAACCAGTTCCATTTTCTGAAGCGTATTATATCCAGAAAACAACGTACACTATACAATAAAAACGTAAAAATATCCACACAAGTACAGAACGTAAACAAAAAGTACAGCCATGAACTTTTGGTGGACACATAACCGTAGCTTAAACACATTTGTATAGTGCTTCTTGTTTTGGTGAACCTTAGGATGAATGAATAAACTACATCTTGAGATGCCTTTATCAAAACTTAAACTGGAAAGTATTGAAATAGTTTAATGATTATTTCCAATATAGTGTTTGAGTAGAAATGCGATACTGTCGCTTAAAGTTGAAAAGTGAACAGCTATATCCTGGTGTTTTCGATTATTTTGAATGAGGAATGTTGCAGAATAAATAAAACACTTGGATAGTGTCTTTTTTGTTTGCCAAATCGGGCTGGTATTTGTATACATTAACCATGTAAACGTAACAGATGCGTAAACTGAATTAATAAATGAAAGTGTTGTCTATCGTAAATTGACACTGACTACTTTGAAAATTAAATCAATACACATATGTTACGCTATATTCCATCATGATCAGTTGTACAATCTAAACATGTCCTTGCAAAACAATTGAATTATTTATCCGACGAAAAACAATCGGTCATTGTTATAGGGTGAAATAGATATTAGCATGTGGTAGAGGGAGACAGAAAACAACATATGATCGACAACGTCAAAAAAGAGGAGCTAAATCTGAACAAAAGGGCGCTATGTAAACATCGGTAAAGTTGTCGTTTGCTTTTAAGTCTTAGGTTCTCAATATTTGTTTCGGTCCTATTTTATGTGGATTACCAACAATGTGTTCATGTAATCGCGTGGCGTGTGTGACATCGAATGCTTTTCAAACACGTTCTATATGATAATTACTACTAGTGGACATGCGCTTTGGAAACCAGTTGAACCCTTAGTCACCATTATCAACCTCCATCCGGAGTTGAAGACTTGTGTTAGTACGGTCTTGAATGCAGAACTTCATTATCTTTGGAAACCAGTTGATCCAAGGGCCCCGAATATGACGTCATTCTAAACTAAAAACAGTAGTAGTACAACATTTAAAAATACCCACCACAGTACTAGTATTCAATCAAATCATACCTTGATGCCATCATATCGAGTCCCACTGGGGCAGACTGATACAATGTCGTGTCGGAACCGTAAGTCGGATACCATGATTGGCTCGAGTGCAGCAGAGAAGGTCGTTACTGGGGGGTTAGGAAAGATTCTCACTGTCCTCGTGTTGTCTGTTCTGTCACAGGTCTTAAACGGTTCCTCGTTAACGTTACATAAGAAACAGAATATGTTCTGATAGGCATCCCTGTAAACAGACCGGTAACTTGTACACGCTCGGTCTAAATCCTCGTCAAAGACACTCCATTGTCCTGTTACGTTACACTCAGAAATCAGTCCATGTGTGTTGCACTTTGCTAGGGTCATATGAATTGGGGGTTCGAACAACACATTGCACTGATCGTCATTGGCAACGATCTCTAGAAGCTCGGTCATAGTCTTTGGATCTAACGTTGATTGAGAAGAGCAGTTTAATTTCCCAGACCAGGCTACGAGATCTCTTTCTAATCTGGAATTGCACACGGCACAGAATACATTCCTGTATGTTAAATCGTTGGCGGCATCAGTCACCGGTAAAACCATCGAGATATTGTACGGATACAACGAATGTCCCCGAACACATAGACGTCCAATGGAGGCGTCGTCGTAACTAGTTGGACATCGGTTTATCATGAAATAACTTTCTCTACTTGATTTCGTCTTGTTCCATTTGTTTATGTATTGAGGATTTAAACAAGCGGTTCGGATTTCCTCCCTAACGTAGTCGGGGCAGTGATCTAGGGGTGCAGCTGTGACGTTACAACTACAGGGGGCACAGCACGAGTCATCAGAGGACATGGAGTAAGACAACGTGCAGGTGCTGACGCTTGGACAAAACAACGTCTGTCTTTCAAGGACAAATCTGAGAAAGTTGTCTTCTACATGCACTGTTCGGTCACGTGCGGCTTTTCTATCGGAATAGGTGACGTATTTCCTGTTTGTTGCCGTTGCACCTTCGTAAGAGACGACCATCAGTAAGGTCAAGATCAGTCCTATCAAATACGTTTTATCCATTATTTGGGTCCTTTTCTTCTACTGAAATTTAAAAAGAAAGAGTTTTAGAACAATAAGTAATCTCTGTTTTCAGTTGAGACGTGTGTTCTGGAATTCATAACAAATATTTTTAGCAAACAGTTGATTTCCCTTAGCTCAGCTAAGACAACTTTAAACCACATTGGACCATCAACAACCCAATGCGATAATCCAGAAACTATGTTTAAGAATTAACTAAAAGTCTTAACAAAAAACGCACGCAACAACGAGCGGAACTAATGAGTTGTAAAACGATGAAAAAACAACACACAAAACAGCGACCGGAACTAACGAGACGTAAAACGATGGAAAAACAACACACAAAACAGCCAGTGGAACTAAGGAGACGTAAAACGATGAAAAAACATCACACAAAACAGACTATGAAGTGTTTCCAGGAAAAAATATTCATACGTTTAAGGTATTTCTAACCAAGGTATCCAGACTATGAAGTATTTCCATTAAAAAGTATCCAGACTTATAAGGTATTTCTAACCAAAGTATCCAGACTATAAAGTGTTTCCAGTAAAAAATATCCAGACTTATAAGGTATATCTAACCAAAGTATTCAGACTATAAAGTGTTTCCAGTAAAAAATATCCAAACTTATAAGGTATTTCTAACCAAAGTATCCAGACTATAAAGTGTTTCCAGTAAAAAGTACCCAGACTTATAAGGTATATCTAACCGAAGTAAACAGACTATAAAATGTTTCCAGTAAAAAGTATTCAGACTTATAAGGTATTTCTAACCAAGGTATCCAGACTATGAAGTATTTCCATTAAAAAGTATCCAGACTTATAAGGTATTTCTAACCAAAATATCCAGACTATAAAGTGTTTCCAGGAAAAAGTATGCAGACTTATAAGGTATCGCTAACCAAAGTGTCCAGACTATAAAGTGTTTCCAGGAAAAAGTATCCAGACTTATAAGGTGTCTCTAACCAAAGTATCCAGACTAAAGTGTTTCCAGGAAAAAGTATCCAGATTTATAAGGTATCTCTAACCAAAGTATCCAGACTATAAAGTGTTTCCAGTAAAAAGTATCCAGACTCAGAAGGTATCTCTTACCAAAGTATCAAGACTGAAAAGTGTTTCCATGAAAAATATCGTGACTTATAAGGTATTTCTAACCAAAGTATCCAGACTATGAAGTGGAAAAAGTATCCAGACTTATAAGGTATCTCTAACCAAAGTATCAAGACTACTGAGTATTTCCAGGAAAAAGTATCCAGACTAATAAGGTTTTTCTAACTAAAATATCCAGACTATAAAGAGTTTCCAGGAAAAAGTATCCAGACGTATATGGTATCTCTAACCAAAGTATCCAGACTATAAAATGTTTCCAGGAAAAAGTATCCAGACTTATAAGGTATTTCTAACCAAAGTATCCAGACTATAAAGTGTTTCTAGGAAAAAATATCCAAACTTATAAGGTATCTCTAACCAAAGTATCCAGACTATAAAGCGTTTTCAGGAAAATGTATCCAGACTTATAAGGTATCTCTAACCAAAGTAAACAGACTATAAAATGTTTCCAGGAAAAAGTATCAAGGCTTATAGGGTATTCCTAACCAAAATATCCAGACTATAAAGTGTTTCCAGGGAAAAGTATCCAGTCTGATAAGGTATCTCTAACCAAAATATCCAGACTATGAAGTATTTACAGCAAAAAGTATCCAGACTTATAAGGTATTTCTAACCAAAGTATCCACACTATAAAGTGTTTCCATAAAAAAAAAGTATCCAGACTTATTAGGTATTACTAACCAAACTATAAAGTGTTTCCAGTAAAAAGTATTCAGACTTATAAGGTATCTCTAACCAAAGTATCCACACTAGAAAGAGTTTCCATGAAAAAGTATCCAGACTTATGAGGTATTACTAACCAAAGTATCCAGACTATAAAGTGTTTCCATGAAAAAATATCCAGACGTATAAGGTATCTCTAACGAAAGTATCCACAAAAGTGTCTTGACCTATAAGGTGTCTCTAGACAACTGTATCCAGGCTTATGATGTGTCTTTAGACAATGAACAAGTTACGTTGTACACACAATACATATACTCATGTTAAACAATACATTACTTCCGACAAATGATACATAAACTCACGTTAAACAATACATTACTTCCAACAAACAATATATATTGTAGCGAACTGGGCTGGGTCAATCTTCGGCGACCAGGGCCGTTTTCGTTTAAACGGTTAAACCGGTCGTACCACAGTTGTTCGTTTATTAAATAAGAAGGGGTGAGTGGGATGGGGGGACTGGACTTGGTCGATCGTCGGCGACCAGATAGCTCAATCTGTAGAGCGTCCGTCTAGAGTTTGGAGGGTCCCGGGTTCGAATCGCGGTCTGGCTGTGCATGTTTCCTCTCCTGTTACAGATATACTCACGTTAAACAATACATTACTTACGACACACAGTACACGATCGCATTAAGGTGTTTCGGAACCACATGTGGCTAGGATTCACTTATGACGAATTTACTTGTGAAGGTGACAAAACTTATCCAAATTTTGAAATAGATAAAAGGAAAAATTGAAAGACAATCTAGAGAAGCGACGAACAATAACGTAGTGGTCATGTCAGAGAAAGGTTTCCGGAGCCACGGTTGGTATAAGGTAAATGAAAGACTTACCTTGTGTCGAGGTGATCGAAGTCGTGTATTCACCGTTCAGTGTGGCTCTGGTTACATGTGGGCGCGGATGGCGAGTAAATCAGATTCACATTTCCCTGGTGGCACATCGATCAAACTTGTCATGCTCACCTGGTTTGGGAGCCCAGCTATTATCTATGAATAATGCATTAAGTTTAATGGATTTCTGTGTTTCCCATGACAATGTTATTTGTAGTAAGTACGAGACGGATATGATTTTACAAATAATTCCGAGATTTCTAATAATGATATGTATGTGTTATGTGTAAATAGTCCGCTTTGTCGCAGCGAGCAACTTCATTGCGTGTATACATTGTGACATTTCCTTGGCAATTGTTTTCAGTTTAATGAATATGCTTGTAATATCTGTATTAGAGTTATCTCCTGCAATTACAACTTACTGATGAGCTGTTATTAAACTGGAGTAAACCTCGTCATCTCCCCTTCCTCCTCCTCCTCCTCCTCCTCCTCCATCGTTTTGTAGTTTCTAATTTAGCAGCAGTTGAGAGTGACATGCACCAGAAATGATTATATGTTGTCTACAAGCAATATAAAGCGTCAATATAGATCATAAGGTACTAATGATTGTGTTTTGCCTAGACCTCAATGTCCATGTAATTCATTAAACGGTAGAAACAAAATTGTGTTTTCGTTTGAACTATTTTTATCACTCGTTGATGACGGTTGTCCTTGATTTGACGGGAGAAATAACGCGGTCATACAATACACTAACCTTAAATATAAAAAAACAGTATCGATTTCTTAGTTTAGCCATACATGCACTGTGTTTCAAATTTAACACTGTAAAATACAAAAAAAAAAATGCAATTTATATCAAAAGTTTTCTTTTTTTCCGTTCAATTGAAACTGACCCCACGAGGGATGGGATTTAATAGGATTTTCGAGGACGCGGGCATTGCTGCCTCGCTTTCCACATCAATATAATGTGGAATACAATGAGGTTTAAACAGAATTGCGTTTATTTATTAGAAGCTGGACATATAACTGGGTTAGGACGCTAAAGTAAAGTTAAATTCCAATAATATTATTATACTTGCATCAAGCAAAACGCTGTTTGACATATAAATGGGCCCGGGAAGCTAAAATAGAATTTCGCTAATATTATTATACTTAATTTAAGTAAAACGAAGCTTCCAACACCTTGGTCCAGGATGCTAAAATAAGATTCCGTTTATATTAGTGTACTTACATCACTGAATAAAATGTATGACGTAGACCGGAGATATATAACTTATTATATTTGTAACAAATGCAGGTTATTTTATTGTGATGAATTATGATCAATTACATATATACTAGTATATAGTTACTTAAGTTACGTTTGTTAATGTTTATAAGTAGTTAAAACATGTTTTATTGACAATAATATCTTGTATCAGCCACTCTTTGTATAAACATATAGAACTAGGAAAACAAAAGGTGGTAATCCTATAGTCTTAGAACCTTTTCACAAGTCATATCGCAGTTAATCACACCCCCGTATACATTTTGTCTATGTATTGGTATATATCCTCCATGCATTGGTAATTTTGTCTATGTACTGGTATATCTCGTTTATGTATTTGTATATCTACTGTATGCTTTGGTATATCTCGTCTTTGTTTTGGTATATATTATCTATGTATTGGTATATCTCCTCTTTGTATTGGTATATCTCCTCTATGTATTGGTATATCTTGTCTATGTTTTGGTACATCTCCTGTATGCATTGGTATATCTCGTCTTTGTTTTGGTATGTATTTTCTATGTATTGGTATATCTCCTCTTTGTTTTGGTATATATTATCTATGTATTGGTATATCTCCTCTTTGTATTGGTATATCTCCTCTATGTATTGGTATATCTTGTCTATGTTTTGGTACATCTCCTGTATGCATTGGTATATCTCGTCTTTGTTTTGGTATATATTTTTTATGTATTAGTATGTTTCGTCCTTGTATTAATATTTCTCCTCAATGTATAGGTTTATCTACTCTATGTATTGGTATACCTCCGCTATGTATTGGTATATCTCCTCTATGTATTGGTATATCTCCTCTATGTATTGGTATATCTCCTCTGTGTATTGGTATATCTCCTCTATGTCTTGGTTTATCTCCTCTATGTATTGGTATATCTCCTCTGTATATTGGTATATCTCCTCTGTGTATTTGTATATGTCCTCTATGTATTGGTTATCTCCTCTATGTATTGGTATATCTCCGCTATGTATTGGTATATCTCCTCTATTTATTGGATTATCTCCCCTATGCATTGGTTTATCTCCTCTATGTATTGGTATATCTCCGCTATGTATTGGTTATCTCCTCTAGGTATTGGTATATCTCCTCTATGTATAAGTATATCTCCTCTATGTATTGGTATATCTCCTCTATGTATTGGTATAACTCCGCTATGTATTGGTACATCTCCTCTATGTTTTGGAATATATCCCCTATGCATTGGTTTAGCTCCTCTATGTATTGGTATATCGCCTCTATGTATTGGTATCTCTCCCCTATGTATTGGTTATCTCCTCGAGGTATTGGTATATCTCCGCTATGTATTTGTATATCTCCTCTATGTCTTGGTTTATCTCCTCTATGAATTGGTATATCTCCGCTATGTATTGGTATATCTCCGCTATGTATTGGTATATCTCCTCTATGTTTTGGATTATCTCCCCTATGCATTGGTTTATCTCCTCTATGTATTGGTATATCTCCGCTATGTATTGGTTATCTCCTCTATGTATTGGTATATCTCCTCTGTGTATTTGTATATCTCCCCTATGTATTGGTTATCTCCTCTATGTATTGGTATATCTCCTCTATGTATTGGTTTATCTCCCCTATGTATTGGTATATTTCCTCTATGTATTGGTATATATCCTCTATGTATTGGTATATATCCGCTATGTATTGGTATTTCTTTTCTATGTATTGGTATTTCTTTTCTATGTATTGGTATATTTCCTCTATGTATTGGTATATATCCTCTATGTACAGGTATTGGTATATATCCGCTATGTATTGGTATATCTCCTCTATGTATTGGTATATCTCCTCTTTGTTTTGGTATATATTCTCTTTGTATTGGTATATCTCCTCTATGTATTTGTATATCTCCTCTATGTATTGGTATATCTCCTCTATGTATTGGTATATCTCCTCTATGTATTGGTTTATCTCCTCTATGTATCGGATATCTCCGCTATGTATTGGTATATATCCTCTATGTATTGGTATATCTCCGCTATGTATTGGTATATCTCGTCTATGTGTTGGTATATTTTGTCTATTTATTGGTATATTTTGCCTATGTATTGGTATATATCCTCAATGCATTGGTATATATTGTTTACATATTGGTATATTCCGTCTATGTTTTGGTACAGTATATATCATCTATAAATTGGTTTATATCCTCGATACATTGATATATCTTCTCTATATATAAGTATATCTCGTCTTTCTATTGGTATATCTCAGATGTACTGGTATATCTCCTGTTTTTATTTTCTACAAATTTTATGAAGTTAACAAAGGGATTAGACAACAGGCAATGCCTATATCTCCTATATATCCTCTATGTTTTGGTTTATCTCGTATATATGTATTGGTACAGTATATATCTCGCCTATGAATTTTTATATCACCTCGATACATTGGTAAATCTTCGCTATATATTGGTATATCTCGTCTTTTTATTGTTATTGATTAACATACAACTAATCTATTCTTACCTGGGGAGATGCAATAAGGTAACAGCCACACTTTTATGATATATGTGTCCCTGTGTGTTGACACTGTGGTATGTTTTTTCCTTGTATTTACTCTCTTAAGATTTTACCCTCGTAGGTTACATGTCTCATAGGTTCCTATTGTGCGATTAGCATTAATACCCTAGGTTTGCATTTTTCTTGGTGCATTTTTAGCCGTTTGTATTCGTCCTCTTCTTTTGTAGTTTTTATACTAAAGATTTTAGTGTCATCTGCAAACAAATAGACTGCACTTCGACTTTAACTAGGTCCAGCAGATCGTCAGCAAATATAGGAAAGAGTGATGGTCGAAGGACTGACCCGTTAGGAAGTCTTCGTGTAACTTCTGTCCATTCCGAGTGTTCGTCTATTATATGGATACTTGCTGTTTCCTTCCACTCAAGAAACACGCTACCCACGTTCGTTCCATTTCGTTTCTAATTTTTAAACTAAGACATTAAGTTTCCTCCATACCGAATTCCACTAAATTCAAAATAAGGTCACGATATCATACTCTATCAAAACGTTGCTTACGTCCAAAATACCGTTCTAATAATGTCTCTCCCTTTTATCCAAGGCCGACGTGAACAGTGAACAATAAACATGAAAAATAGGCAGGAGTTTATTAGCAGAGGAATCGCCGGGTCTGAAACCTTATTGATAAAGTGATGAAAGAAAAACATGGCGCTTATGGGGAACAGTATCAAAAACTCTTTGATAATCCATATACATACAACTTCCACCTAAATCGTCTATCAATTACATTGTACCTCAGTCTCCCTGGTACCTTTATCAGTCGCAGTACTGTTGTCGGCCTGTCTTACTAAACCCATTTTGTTTTGGAAAGAAAAAGTTGTTCATTCTCATTTTATCTAGTGATGGCATTATATTTACCCGTATTTCTATAGATGGGTCTAATCGTGATACGTATTTTATGAATTGATATAACGGACTCTAAGACGTATTGGTCATTATGAACCTGATAAAGAGATGTTAAGTCCATGATTGATACAGTACTGTAGACCTATCATTCACTGAAGCTCACTGTTTCAAAAAGCTTCACATTTGATCCCCCTTTAATTACTTAATTTCATTAATTAATACTATCATTACTTCGTATACATACACGTAACAAATGCTTAAAAGGCGAGGATTGAAATGGAACGATACATGCAAAGAATAAAAAAATCTCTAAATTGGCAAGTGTATCAATGAAAAATGAGTTCAGTTAAAACGTACACTCTCTTCAAGAAGATTCATCAGTTTGGAAATAGATGAAATATCAAAATGTTACTTTCTACACAAACAAAGCTTAACAAAGTGGCCAGTCGGTCTTGAAATGTTGCGACACGTTTAATACGAACATTGTTTGTGTGGAAAGTAATACTTTGATATATAATATAATGTTGTTTCTGCATTGTATTAAACTTATCTAAAGCTGCTGCGAGGATGCGTATTGCACCTACCCACAAATTTAGACTCGACCTCAGTGGTGCGACAATGAATGTGAATATATCAAAAAGAGAGAGAGATATAAACTATATTTAGGAGATAAAAACCGGAAGAAGATCTACGGAGATACAAAAGTGCTTATAACATATTGCAGAAAATCTGTAATTCAAAATAGTCGCGAGCAAAATAGAGACCTCAGAGAATGTGGATTCGTTTCAACAGAACCGGTGAAAATAGCAACTCTATTACGGGAGAACAACGTAATGGTTGGATCACTTCAAAAACTTGTATTGAATATCTGCAATATTTAACTTGGAGGATAAGTTTGTGAATGATGTAATAAATATATTAGATGTACACTTCAGCACAGATTCGACATCAATAATTAAATACTTGGTGCTGACATTCAATAAGAGGACATCATGGGGGTTTCGTCCCAGTTCAAAGTAACTAAAGCCCCTGGTAAAGCTGAGCCATTCCAAAATGGAACTGATGCAGTATTGGTGTGTCTTTGTGGGCTGTTTAACAAAATAATTTAACTGGGGAATTCCCAATTGATGAAAAGCTACAACACAACCCAGTCGCAAAAAATAAAGATGTAGTTATCTCTTTTACAAATGTCATGGACAACATTTCTGCCAAGATCCTATTATATTTTGGCAGAGACGGAACAAAAAGAGATAAAAAGAACAAGCAGGTTATCGCATGTAAAGTCAACTGCTGACGATTGTTTAACACTGCAAGCTTAGGAGCAGAAATAATTAAATAGAAATGAAGGCAGAATGTTGGTCACAGAATTATCAAGACATTACAGTTGGTGCATGCCGATGAAATCCTGTGATTTCGAGTGTAATGTCGGTACAAGTCAGTGCTGTATGTGGAACCCATTTCTTTTTTTGTAATTTTCGATCAAATTAATAATGCAAAATGTCATTTTTGTAGACGCTCATTTATGAGATGTATTGCAGTTATTGTTTGCAGACAATATGGCAAATATTGCTGATACTGTATTGCATGTATGTTAACAAAAAGAGACAGAAGTTTTAAAATCTTTTTGTAACGTGTATCGCATGAGGGTTACGGTAAATCTCGGTAAACACAGGTAATGGCGTTTAGGCATTGAATTTTTGTAAGTAATATTGAAAACTGGCTCATAAACGGAGAAAGAATTGAAGTGGTATAAAAAAAAAGTTCGGCACGTACTTCACTGCTTCTCTCAAGTGGGACAGCCGAAAAAAGCGTGGTTTACTTATAAATATGGTTTTCATTGTGCTTGGAATTACAATTCAGTATAAGATAGAGCTTTCTATTAGTCTTTTTACCTAGGTAGTAAAAGATACATGTATTGAAGAATGGGATTTTGGTATAAAGAAACCTCATTTATTCTGTAATCAAAAGTTTCATTAGACAGATCAATAATTACATATTATCTTACACAATTCACACAAGATTGCTCTTTCCAGACCTCGTATGTATCTGGCCATGATTATTCATTGACAATGGTAGGGAGTTTTAAAATTCCCAGGGAAGAATGATTATGTTATACATATATATTGATGATCAACGAAAATCTTCAGACTGAATAATTTCATACTTATAGAAGATGAATATCATTTTAATTTCTATTGTATTGTACATAAGTATTCATTTCAAACATGTGCATTGGGAAAATATCGGCAAATGTGAAATCATTGCTTTAAACTAGAAATGAAGATATTTTATGAAATGTTGGAAATTTCACATCTTTACATGTAGCTTAAAAACAAGATCTGAATAAATTGTATATGTAGAATGAAACAAGCATGATTAGCGTTCACATCGAGTCTTGTCAGATAAAGTAGATATAAATACGACCCCTGTTTAAAGTACATTTCTTTTAAATATGCAAAATGTATGTAGGGTGAGGGTACCAAAAATGGAACGGTACCCAAAATGGAACACTTTTGATATAAATGGCACAGCAATTTTTATTTTGCAACAAAAAATTATGGTATGTAATACAGTATTGTCAATCATAATTTAGATAGTTTTATGCATTTTGAACAAATATCATCTGCCTACCTCTTAAACATTGCTCATAAATTCAATTGAAATATTGAAAACATTAATGGGAAAAAATCCCGGGAAATAGTATGATGCGAAAACATAAATATTCGATCATATTTCTCAACTTCGAATTTTAACTACATTGTATCTGATCAGAGACGTTTATAAATACAGAGATTGGCAACTCTCGCTGATCTCGCAAAATCACGCATGATCTACGAGTGTTTGTTTTGACAGCTTATCGACCTGGTGACGATAGTCTGGTCAGTGAGTTACCTGTGTGAGAGTTCGATCGTGTATTCGTTAGTTCGTGTCAACATGTCACTTATCCTAGATATATGGATCATATAAAGAAGCTGGTTAGAAATATAATGTTATATCTGAATACGTTTTTGAAATAAAAAGATGAACGAGAAAGGAGTGCCGGTGTCATGAAAGGAATTAACTCTCGCACATCACAGCCGCCATTTTCACATGGTTATTTTAAAGTGTATTTTCAGAGCTCAATTATCAAACTTTGCAGGTATTGTAACAACCTCATTTTAATTTCCTGGTTAGAAATATTATCATATAACTAATTTCTGAAAACTTTTTTGAAATTGTCTAAAGAAAAAAAACGGAGATAGTGTTATCCTGAAGCCAGAATAATTACCGATATGTAAACACAGCCACGATGTGCAATCTTTCGATGTTTGGGGTTTTCTAAACTTAATCATTCAAGTTAACATTCAATGTAGCAATCCCAAACCGCATGGAAATCTCAGCTACATTTTGTAGCTACGTACGGTTTTAATGTTACGTTGATTTGCGATGTTTTCTCATGGCATAATTATGATTTGAGTTGAATGCAGCGAACCGCATATCCAATATGGCGCAGGTGAAGCGTAACTCTCGATACCAGTGACCAATGGTAAGGCCAAGAGCAAGTTGCCAATCTCTGTATTATACGTCTCTGATCTGATCAAGTATTATTTATAGAGAATAAATGAGTAAAATTTGTCAGAAATTGTAAAAAATTGTCAAAACTTTTTGTTTTTACTTATATGATTAAGTGTTCCATTTTGGGTACTCGATCGACCAGCTAAAAATTCTAAATGAACCTGACGCACTTTTTAATGAGCTCTATAAATAGACATACGTGCTGTTAATACCCCAAAAATATCATTTTGGGTAGTCTCGCCCTACTATATAAGCACGGACTTAGATCTAATTCCGTGATAAAATGTATGAAATGTAACATACAAGTTGTACTTTGTACTATTTTAACTTGAAATACTCGATTAACTCAGAGACACTTATGATTCAATATCTCGAACTTGAACAAAAAGTTATATAAATAAGTAAGCGGAAATAGGTTTAGGTAAGAACTGGGCTTGGGTTTGACTACAAGTTATATGATTAAATACGAAAACATTGCTGAACATTGATATTCCCAAATAACAAAATATGTAAGCTTTCTTTATGTTTTTCTGAAAGAGTGTCAATTTAATGAATGAATTAAACATAGTCGAAACTTACTAGGTGATTAATAGCGTTACATAAGCACTAACAGCAGAGGGTGCGAAACTAAATGTTTAAAATCCACATCCGGCTTTTTCATAACAGGCGCCCTTGTCGGTGCCTTCTGATGTAACTTCGCGTATACATTGAATCAGTGGTATTGCATACTAGACATATCAAAATGTCCCACAGATATATGGCTGTAGGCCGAAGAGGACATGTTCTGCTTCGAAAAGTGTTGTCAATGCGATCTCCGAATCAAGAGGTGAGATGGACCACGTGATAACTCGCGAAGTTGAAAATTGGCAATGTCAACCAATTTTGTACAGAAATGTTCTCATATGAACCAGTTGTTTTCTTTATTATGATATGCCATTTATTTGGTTTGTTCATCGGGTCTCTAAAATTGCCAAAACTTGTCATATATTTTGATGAAAAATTAAACACATCTTAAAATGACGGTGTTACAGCATCAACTTGCATTTAGTGAAATAGGCTGGTGTTGCTTCCTTCCAAATATCGTTTTAAAAGTTTAAAACTAGTTGCTATACATTGACAGTAAGCAGAGTATGCCAAGTAAAACAACAAGTGTAGAAGATGTGCATTGATTACGTTGTATTACAAGCGTCAGCCACAGTGGTTCGTTACAAATGTCTGAAATACACATATGCTGATAATATATACATATGTATTTCAGACATTCATAACGAACCCTTGTGCGTCAGCTGTAGGGAATTTCCTTTTAGCTCAGCGGTAGAGCATCAGGCTGGAGAGACAAGGGTCGTGGGTTCGAACCCTTGTACTAATATAAATACATGACCGGCCTGGGTATTAAATTGGTCCCATGCCTTGTAATGGAGCAAGCCCGGTGTGATGCACACCGGGCAAATTTAGATTTTAAGTGACAGCACATTGGTCATCATCCATAAATAAGGTTGTAGTATAAACTATTTCTGTTGATATCCTGCATAACTCGGCCTGAAATGTAGTTATATGATCAAGTTATATATAATTAACTTTGCAAGCGCAATCAAAATCTGAATTGACTGCTATGTTGGAACGTTTGTCTCTCTTCCAAAATATGTCAGACATTTAAATATGGGTGGCATGACCCAATATGAAAACTGTAGTAAACATGGGGGAATCAGTAGTAATACTGTATTTGGCCATCATGCATGTAGACCGTATATTGAAAGGATAATTGAGATAACATCTGTCATGGCGGTCGTTTCTATTTTTTTTCTTTCCTAAGATTGACTTGGTTAACTTAGTTTTTTTCATCAGTAAGGATTCGTTTTTTCAACCATTATGCAATATATAATAAAAATATGTTGTCGTCAGAAAGCTATGTTATTACAGCTATTCGAGTCCCAGCGACATCACTATATATCTTTGTCACTGTTAACGTTCCTCGTCCTAATACAAAATGGTACCGTTGTCCCCCCCCCCTTCAAGGTAAGAGAATCCATGGTGGAGTGTCAAAAGAACCAAGGTTGGTGTTTGAAAAAAGGGGGGGATAGTGTTATAAATCTGACATTATAAGATAATTCTGGATATCCGTATCCGTCTGTGTACTAACATTAGTCACACCCTGGAAGTCTTCAGTGCCATAGGTTTATAAAGTCAGTCATCATTCTACCTACAAATGGTGTCTGTTTAGTTTGTTATACCAGGTCACTAAAACCTACATACATGACAGATAGTGTAAAAGATGTGCATTGATAATTATAACGTTGCCTTACTACAAGCGTCAGCTGTAGGGAATTTCCTTTTAACTCAGCGATAGAGCATCAGACTGGAGAGCCAAGGGTCATGGATTCCAGCTACAGTAACAGCACTATATTCATCCCTATTCCTTGTCCTATTACAAACTGGTGCCGTTGACCCTCTCCGTTCAAGATAGGAGAACCCTTGGCAGGAAGTGAAAAGAACCTGGGTTTGTAAGCTGAAGGGAATTTCCCTTTAACTCAGCGGTAGATCTAGAGCATCAGGCTGGAAAGCCAAGAGTCGCAGGTTTCGAGTCCCAGCGACAGCACTAGTACTTAATCACTATTCCTCGTCCTATTACACATGCATTATATTGGGGTTTAACATTCTGTGTAATGTTTTTATTGTTCAAATTTCATCCCTAACTGTATGTATACCACCGATACACTTGTTATATATATATATATGTTTAATGTTTCAATGAGTATCCAAGATAAATTCTTCATTTTCATACAATGAACCAGTCAAACCGTCATTCCAGGAAACAAATATTCAGCAAGTAATTCCTTGACACTTTCAGGGGTAAATTAAAGTCGCACTTACGGTGAATATGGATATCTGGCAATATATGATTGTTCTTTTTGTGTTTTCTTATTCCATAATTACGCATTCATTGTCATATAAGGTGTAATGTTTCATTTTATATGGACGCTCATTGGATAAGTCGTCACTTCCAGTATATATATGCAAATATGCTAAAAGTAGCCAGGAAACCTGGAAGTAAACACATGTTGGACAACAACTTCATGCAGTGGGTGTTTTTTCACCCACATAGCATGTGGACAATATTTTCAGTGGTCAGGAATGCTGATGTGTTGACATGCACATAAAACACCAGCAGTATAAGAATAAATGCGTCTTATAAATTGTGTTCAGTAATTATAACTGCCTCCGGTTCAGTAATACCCGACCCCGCTCTATGTATTTTCTATTTTATTAATGAAGTTACTTTTCTGTTGTAGATACAAAGAGACATGACACTCCTGTCTAAGGTTCTTCAGTCCAGAGAAATGGATTCCCTACTGCGACAATTCAGCTGCACGGTTCTCAAAGCATCTTCTGATCTTCCAAAAGGATTTGAGAAATTTGAGGAGCTACTTAAAAAGAAAACAAAACCAAATGGTAGTTTTATTGTTTATAATATTGTGCTAGAATAGCTTTGAGGTTTATTAGTCCCCTACTGGTGAAATCGGGAAGGACTACAAATGTATATAGTTTTCGTCTCCGTCTGTCTGTGTACTTACATATGTAACACCAATGTTTGTCAGCGCTCTAGCGGCTTCATTCCTTAATGGATTTTGATCAAACTTCACACAATTACAAAGGACCATAATATCTCGGACAAGTTTGACATTCATGGTTGTCGGGTCAAGGTCACTGTTACTATCTTTAGAAAATCCTTGTCAGCACTCCAGCGGTTTCATTCCTTAATGGATATTGATCAAACTTCACAGAATTACAAAGGACCATATTATCCCAGACAAGTTTGACTTTCAGGGTTGTCTGGTCAAGGTCACCGTTACTATCTTTAGAAAATCCTTGTCAGCATTCTAGCGTCTTCATTCCTAGAGGGATTTTGATCAAACTTTATATTTTAAAGGATCATAATATCTTGAACAAGTTTGACTTTCATGGTTGTCGGGTCAGGTCAAGGTCACCGTTACTATTTACAGAAAAATCTTGTCAGTGCTCTAGTGGCTTCATTCCTTGAGGGATTTAGATCAAACATCCTACAATCACAAAGGACCATAATATTTTGGACAAGTTTGAGTTTCAGGGTTGTTGGGTCAAGGTCACCGTTACTATTTTTAGAAAATCCTTCTCAGCGCTCTAGCAGCTTCATTCCTTGAGGGATTTTTATCAAACTTTACACAATTACAAAAGACCATACTATCTCGGACAAGTTCCGAATTTCAGGGTTGTTGGGTCAAGGTCACCGTTACTATTTTTAGAAAATCCTTCTCAGCGCTCTAGCAGCTTCATTCCTTGAGGGATTTTTATCAAACTTTACACAATTACAAAAGACCATACTATCTCGGACAAGTTCCGAATTTCAGGGTTGTTGGATCAAGGTCAAGGTCACTGTTACTATTTTTAGAAAATCCTTGTCAGCACTCTATTATTTGCAATGAAACCCAAATCCTCTGTCATCGAATTGTCCAGTCAATTTAATGCTATAAACCTCTAATACCTTGCGGTTTTCATAAGGCCAAGAATCATCCTTAGGGTTTTGGTATTTATTCACATTATTTTTGGGCCTTTTGTATAATAATATGGGATTCAAATTTGGTTTTGATACCTGCCTATGAAAAAGAGAGGTGTCATGAAGGTGTTTACAAGTTTTGTTCAGTTCAAATGGGACAAATTGTTAGTGTCTGAGGTAAAACCTAGGGTTGAGTGACTTTACACACTGGGTGACCATATAGTGTACACTGACCAGGATACTGATAGTCGTCGGACCGAGTTTCATTATTTTAGTGCAATCTATTGACGATAAAATGCCATTTTTGTCTCGCCGTGACAAAGTAGCGGAAGCGAGACTATAGCTTTTAAGGTTTGCTTTTCTGGTGACGGTGGCGTCAACATTAAGTTTTTGCGTTTAAGTTAGTTTCAGTGAAAGTATAAGTGCTAGACTAACCAAACTTGAACCATGCATGCTTCTAAGGTAGTACATTTCAACCCATGCATCAAATATTGGATGCGGCCAACCTTTCATGGTCCATTGACTTTGTCAGCATCTCAATTAAAGTTTTTATGTTTAAGTTAGTTTCTCTGAAACTATAAGTACTAGACCAACCAAACTTGGACCATAGATCATTATCTTAGTAAGTATATTTACATGAACCCATGCATCAAATGCTGGATGTCTACATTGAATTTATTTCACCTTTATGTGCATTGATGGCCATGGTCAAAGCGGGGCACAGGCGAGACATATCAATCCAAATGGCTTGTTATTTACCCCACAGTTCTTTTTCCCCTTTAGTATATTTTTATTTTGTTGGTGACTTGGTATTGGTTTTCTTCATTAACTCATTCACCCCTGAAGTTTCATAATGAACTTTTCAAACCTTTGAATCGGAAGAGTTTAAATGTGTCTTCAGGGGTGAATGAGTTAATAGGCCATTGTTTTACTTTGTGGCAAATCCTTCCCCCAAAAAAACATGCAGAAAAATTAAAATATATCAAACCCAAACATCCATATCTACAGATTTTCTCACTGTATTACCCATCAGTCTTTTCAAATTTTCCCCATCACTCACAGCAAAATGTGTAAGTTCTGTCACACAAAAAAACTGTCAATATCTTTATTATTGTCATTCAGAAAAGAAAAAGAAAGCAGAGGACCAATCTGAGAAGAAAGTAGAGGATCCACCCAAAATAGAAGTGGATGATCCACCCAAGAAAGAAGATGTACAAAGGGGAGGGTCTGCTGAGGAACCATGGCCAATTAATGAACTTAAAGCAGCCTTTAAAAAATTTACTGAGGATTTTGAAAAACAATCAGGAAATCGTGATCCGTGAGTACAAGATTTTAAGTCTGTATATGTCAGATATAACTTATTTTAGGTAATTGACCCTCACAATTTAACAATTTGGATTTTTCTTTTGTTGTTACATAGCTTCTGAAGTTGTGTTTTGGGTAATTAAATCACTCAGCAAAAGTCAAACACATATAAACGCTTTGATAGTAGTGAAGACAACATCCATAAAGCACACTGATAATAATATTTGGAATGAGATTCATCAGGTTGCTATGTTAAATGCTAAGATTGTTTGAACACAAACAGTAATTGAAACTTTCTTTTTCATATTACCCATCCCTCTGACTGTCTGTAGTATTAAAGTGCTATAAACATATTACCCATCCCTCTGACTGTCTGTAGTATTAGAGTGCTATAAACATATTACCCATCCCTCTGACTGTCTGTTGTATTAGAGTGCTATAAACATATTATCCATCCCTCTGACTGTCTGTAGTATTAAAGTGCTATAAACATATTTCCCATCCCTCTGACTGTCTGTAGTATTAGATTTCTATAAACATATTATCCATCCCTCTGACTGTCTGTAGTATTAGAGTGCTATAAACATATTACCCATCCCTCTGACTGTCTGTAGTATTAGAGTTCTATAAACATATTATCCATCCCTCTGACTGTCTGTAGTATTAGAGTGGTATAACATATTACCCATCCCTCTGACTGTCTGTAGTATTAGAGTGCTATAAACATATTACCTATCCCTCTGACTGTCTGTAGTATTAGAGTGGTATAAATATATTACCCATCCCTCTGACTGTCTGTAGTATTAGAGTGCTATAAACATATTACTCATCCCTCTGACTGTCTAGTATTAGAGTGGTATAAACATATTACCCATCCCTCTGACTGTCTGTAGTATTAGATTGCTATTAACATATTACCCGTCCCTCTGACTGTCTGTAGTGTTAGAGTGCTATAAACATATTACCCATCCCTCTGGAATTAATTCAAACCAGTTAAGAACTTGGTTGTCTGACATTTTTTTTGTGACCAAATATCACAGTTTTTAGCCCACCCATCGCCAGCCCAAAGGGCCAAGTGAGCTTATGCCATGGTGCAGCGTCTGTCGTCTGGCGTTCTTTCTTTTTCCTTGAAAACGCTACTAGTCCTTGGCCAAAGGGTTCTCAGTTTTGTATAAACAGAGGGTATGCCCCCACCTGGAGGCAGAGGGACGGCCAAATAGTGGGAAAATAGGTAAATCTTTAAAAAATCTTCTTCTCAACCAATAGAAGGATTTTGACTAAATTTGTTCTAGAGCATCTTTGGACAAAGGAGACTCAAGTTTGTATAAACGGAGGGTGTGGGCCCTATGCTGGCAAAGGGGCGGGCCCAATAGAGGTAATAGAGGATTTTTTTCTCTCCTACTATACAAGTGAAGGGATTTAAACCAATGCAGTCTAAAGCATGCTTATGGACAAAAGAATCAAATTTGTATAAACTGAGGTGTGTGGACCCCCTTCTTTGGGGCCGATGGGTTGGGCCCACTGGGTGAAATAGAAGAAAACTAATATTAAAGATTCTTCTCCTTCTGTATCGATGAGGGATTTTAACCAAACTTGTTCTAGAGCATCTTCGGGCAAAGGGAATTTAATATCTTTAAATGTATGTGTCCCCCCCCCC